GAAAATTACGTGTTCGGACATGTCTACAGCCAACTGTTGGCTTTGTGCCATCAACCGACACGGCCACAAAAAGTCAGCAATGAAAACTGATTTTTTCTAGTTTCCCTATTTTTTCTATTTTCCTGTGCTTTTTTGTTTGCTTCCTATCTTAAAATTTTTTCTTCTCACTAGAATGATGACAACGTTCTCGAAAATGGTCGTAACATAGGCTTTGATGTTGATTTTCGCAGTTGAAATCCGCTAAATATTCCCCTACGACTTTCCAAACAACGGCTTAACATCTAGCGTTCCAGGTGGTTGTTTGGAAGATCACGTAGGACGGTGGGCGGGCTCAATGGGCTTGGGGCGGCGCCAATGCTCCAACCTAGGCTCCTAGCGCCTAAACCTTATCAAAACGCCCCGCCACTTCTGCACATGGTCTGCCCTTGCGTACTGCTCCATATTTGACGGGGGAAAAACCCAAAAATTTCGCCAGAAATCCCGGAATTTGCCCTTTAACACGTACAGGAGCTTTAGATCGCCTTTACATCCACAATTGTGAATCACACAATTTTTAAAATTACATGTGAACAAACCTGATGACCCGTTTGTATACGCCAGTGGCGAAATGCTGATCAAAGTATAGCCCAAAGCAACGAGACGCAACGGCTCGCACAGCGACATCGCTCATTTCAGATCCACATGTGATGACGACCGATGTACTAAAGTTGTATTAATTAAATCATTCATGTTACTATTTTCAAACACACTACATTCAAAATGACAGAAACGCTTAAATGCGCGTTTAATCGTTTCGCGAGCGATGATAGAGTCAAATTATGAACCACTATGAAACTTCGAAGTCAGTACGACCTCCCGAGAAGAGGCGAAATGCAGTTGATGAGAAATCACAATGAAAAAAGTCAACTCTAATCGGGAGGGCGGCGTTTACTGACTTGAAGAACTACTTAGACAAGGAAAAAAAAACACAGCCCTCTACAATGGGCATAGAGCTGGTTACAAAACGAAAGAAGTAATTGAAATCATTTTTGAGTTGTTTTTATTGGATAACTGCTGCCTTTACGTGCGCAATTCGTGTTGTGCGAATGCTACCACAAGAATGCTGAGTTGTGGGCAAAGTTTTGCATTCTTGTGATAACTTGGATCCACAAAATTTGTGTTTTCCAAGTTCTTCCACAGTTACGTCGCGATTTATCACTGTTGCAGAAATCTTAAACCCATCTTGCACAGCATGACGGCCTGAGAATCTTTCCCTACTGCACACGCCATTTCACATGGTACTGCATGCGACAGGGAGGTACGGCAGAGAAGTGGAGCATGAGCAACAAGTGCGCCAATGAAACCAAGGCTATCACTGTTAATATATCATTATACGTTGATTTACTAGCAATGAGTCACTTCACCTCTATAAAATACCCAGTAAACATGATTTCGACCATTCCTCATGGATGTAATCGTCGTAACTAGAGGAGAATGGAAGGAGAGGCTGAGAAGCAAGGGAAAGTCACAAGGTCGAGGCCCAATTCGGTGTTTCATCACATGATATCATGATGCATCAAAATGCTCTACTAGACAAGACACCCATTTTGTGCATGACAATTTCCCTTCCCGAGTCTTGACACAAGTTCGAGTTGGCACAGCGGAGGGTGTGTAGCGTACGCAGAGAACGATAGGTCCAGGTGGATGCCAAGAGACAAAACTAGTTCTATAATATGTCACGATAAGGACGTACAAATATAAAGCAAAAAACACTAAACAAGGGTAAGTGATATAAACGTGCAAAACAAAGTTGAATTCGCAGAGCGCAGAGGGTTTAAGAATCAGTCAACAAGAGTGGTTTGAACTTCTCTGTTTTAAAACTCTATCGAAGAACTGTGTAGACGAACGCCAGAGAATGATAGAGTCAGGTGGATTGCAAGAAACAAAACTAGTTTTATAAGCATGATCAAAATGAACAATAAAAACAAAATATTCTCAAAACCCACGGATCTCTTTCACTGAGGGTCCTCTCTCACTGAAAGATCTCGAGCCGGTTGGTGGCGAGGCTACGTGGCGCGACCCCAGGTGGCGGATAGGGGGTAAATCGCGGACCAAAAGCCACCATGTACTTGCCCTGAGACGCAGGTGGATTCAGGGGATGGACTCCCTGTTTCTGTAGTGCTGTGTCGATTCATACCAGCTTCTCCATACAGGTGTATCCATGCATGCTTGCGTGTGTGGTGCGCTCTGTGTGTGTGCGGTTGGTATCCTGCATGTCGGCACAGCCAAAAGCTTGCATTCAAGTGACTGGGAAGTACATGGGAGGCGATTCGGGGCCGCCTCCAAAAAATAAGCCCCTTGTTCCGCTCCAGGATAGCGTGGCTAACTACCTGGAGGTCTATCCTAGCCCACACGACAGAGCCTGGCAAGCTACTCGTGTGCCTTCAATATGCCGAAAACAGCAATATGGATGGGCCTCATTCCCCTGAACCTGAGGGAGCCCCCAATACGGCAGCGTTGGGTAGGACCGCTCGGGAGAGGCTGCTAGAATCTCAGGGCCCGGATAGGCTGCCTAAACGAAGAAGGACTAAGATGGCGATCTGTACTTTCAACGCACGAACGCTTGCATCCGAAGCTCACATCGAAGATCTGATGATGCAGGCCAGGAAGATCAAGTACGACGTCATCGGACTGACCGAGACGAGAAGGCACCGCCCGCTACACGCCGTTTTCGATACTGGAGAAGAACTGTTCCTTGGAACATGCGACAGCAGAGGCGTTGGCGGTGTGGGTGTCCTCGTCAACACGCACTTGGCCATAAACATCGATTCGTACGAAAGCCTTACGACCCGAATCGGACGTTTGAGATTGAGAAGATGTGGTTCAACTCCTGCTTTGACAATCTTCGTCGCCTACGCACCAACATCGAGCTACGACGAGGAGAACACGAAGCATTTTATATGGAATTGGAGAAGTTCTACAAGGAAGATCATACCTTCTTCAAGGTCATCGTCGGCGACTTCAACGCCAAGATTGGCCCGAGAAGAACGGCTGAAGAACTTCACATCGGTACTCACGGAATGGATTGGAATGAGCAGGGCGAAAGACTGTCTGAGTTTATCATGTCGACCAACACCATCCATGGTAACTCGCAGTTCCAGAAGCCCTCTCACCTTCGTTGGACTTGGGAGTCACCTGATGGACAGTTCCATAACGAGATAGACCACATCATCTTCAATCGAAGGTTTTGCCTGACCGACGTCGCTGTTGTTCCGAAGTTCTACACGGGATCGGACCATCGTCTCCTCCGCGCAAAGTTCCACTTTTCGATGCGTGTTGAGAGAGCCTCGAAGTTCAGGAAGCGAAGCCCCAGGACAGTCATCAACTGGGATCACTTTCACTTCTCTTGTCAGCTTATGGGAGGATTCCGTTATCGAGAACATCGACGAGGAATATCATCGGCTCGTTGAACACCTTCACGAGAGTGGCAGGAAGGCAGAGAGTTTACAAGTCACCAAAGGACGTCTGTCTACGGAAACTCTCGAGCTGATACGCCAACGTGGAGCCGCACGAGCTGCAGGCAATCACCAACTCACGTCCGAGCTTGCGAAGCTATGCAGAGAGGCGATAAAGGAAGATCTCAAGGAGCGAAGAGCAGCAGTATTAGCTGAAGCAGCAGAGGCTGGGAGGAGCATCCGCAATGCCCGCCGAAGCTTTGCCAGCTACAAGACCAAGATGACCTGCCTCCGACGTCCGATGGAACAGTTACTGCATCCCGAAGGGCAATGGAGAAAGTCATCCACGACTTCTACTCGGATCTCTTCGATAGCCATGTCCATCTGCCCACTTATCAACTGCAACAGGATGGATACGTCGTCCCCTCAGTTCTCTCTTCCGAAGTCCGACACGCCATCAAGTCGGTGAAGAATCGTACAGCACCCGGTCTCGACAGGGTCAAACCGGAACATCTGAAGAATGCGCCGCCAGTTATCATCAAAACTCTGGCTCGACTCTTCACGCGCTACCTGTCGGAATGCAAGGTACCCACTCCGTGGAAAACCAGCAGGACCGTGTTGCTGTACAAGAAGGGAGACCTGGACGACATTGGCAACTATCGCCCAATCTGCCTGCTGTCTGTAATCTACAAGCTATTCACTCGAGTCATCCTTAACAGGATCGGCAGAATACTAGATGAAGGACAGCCATGCGAGCAAGCAGGGTTCCGAAGAGGGTTCAGCACGATCGACCATATCCACACGGTTACAAGACTCATTGAAGTTTCACGAGAGTACAAGATGCCGCTTTGTCTCACGTTCATCGACTTGAAGAAGGCCTTCGACTCTGTGGAGACAGAAGCGGTCATCGAAGCCTTGGGCAACCAGGGCGTCCCTACTCAGTACATCAAGATTCTTCGTGAGCTCTACAGCAACTTTACGACCAGAATCTCACCATTCTACAAGGAGGTCATCATCGACGTCAAGAGAGGGGTTCGACAGGGCGACACCATCTCGCCCAAACTCTTCAGCGCCGCTCTCGAGAACGTCATGCGTCAACTGGAATGGGAAGACATGGGAGTGAAGGTCGACGGCCGGCAACTACACCACCTTCGTTTTGCTGACGACATCGTTCTTATAACGCCGAACATCGAGCAAGCGGAGCGAATGCTGGCTGATTTCGACTGCGCCTGTGGTAAGGTTGGTCTACAGCTGAACCTAACGAAGACGATGTTTATGAGAAACGGATTGGTTCCTGATGCCCCATTCACGCTCAACGGAACGAACATCACCGAATGCTCCAGCTACGTGTACCTAGGTCGGGAAATCAATATGATGAACGATCTAGCTCCAGAGCTGAGCAGGAGGAAACGAGCGGCTTGGGGAGCGTACAAGAACATCGAGGGAGTAGTGAAGAAGACGAAGAACATCCGGCTCCGTGCCCACCTCTTCGATTCCGCTGTCCTTCCTGCCCTAACCTACGCCTCAGAGACTTGGACTCTGCGCAGGCAGGACGAGCATGCGGTCAGCGTTATCCAACGCGCTGTCGAGAGGACGATGCTAGGAGTAACCCTATACACGCAAGTGCAGAGGGGAATCCGGAGTGCCGAACTACGCCAACGATCGAAGATCAGGGACGCTGCCGTTTTCGCCAAGGAATCGAAGATAAGGTGGGCCGGACACGTCATGCGATTTTGCGATGACCGTTGGACCAGAGCGGTTACCGACTGGATCCCTCGGGACGTCAAACGAACACCTGGACGACCGCCGGCCCGATGGTCAGACTTCTTCACGAAAGCTCTGAACGAAAGGAATGAAGGACATCGTGTCCCTCGAGCGAGGAGGGTCCACTGGACAACTCTTGCACGCGACAGGGACGAATGGAGACGTTGCTGGCGCCCGCTCGAGCAATTCGATGATCAAGGGGACGACAGTGATAACAGGTGATCGAAGAACGGGCGCTTTACTGTTCATTGAAACGTTTATTCCATTCGAAGTGGCAGCGGCAAAAAAATGCAGGGGGTTCAACTAACAAAATATGGAATAAGATCTTTCCTTGTATTGAACAAACCTGTTAGACGTGGAAGAAATATCAGCCATCTGCTGTTTCCATGCTCCACATTCAACAGCATTCAGTGGTATTTTTGGTGCTGCAGCTATTTGCGATGTCATAGAAGTATCGTATGCCGTTTCGGTTCGGAAATCACGACTCAGTACTGTATTTTCCTGGCTAAACAAAAATAACAAATCGTAAAAAGAATCATCAATGAATTCTGTCACATCTGCCTCACCTAACACTCCTTGGTCTGACAAACAAGGCATTGGACCACTTAGGATCACCAAGACTGGAATGAGCCACAAAGACGCGAGACACGTCGGGTACGAGTGACGACGACGACGTCATTAACCACTGGCCGGGTTTCTTGCAGCATTCTAAAGTTTGAAATTATATCGCACTGCGACAGTGTGCTCTGTTAGAACTATTCCAAAGAAATGCATGATGAAGAAGCACTACAACGTACCTGAACTATACTTTATTTCCTGTTCATATTTCTTTCTCGTTATAACATATGAATACAACGGGGGCTGGAACGCAATCCTGTAAACCAGTGACTGGTCTCCGCTTGTGTCTATGAAGCCTGGAAGCACCGTCGCATGAGAAAATGAACAACACTTCGCTAGATCTTTGCTCATTATCCAGCTAATATTCATAAAATGACTCTGCAGCAAAAGGATCATTTAACCTGTCGAATTGAGAAAAAGTAGGAAGTACCATTTGGATTGAATGTTTGCACGACATCAAGTGAATTATCAGCCAAAAGGAACAGGTAATGGCTGCTGGTTACAGTTGATACCTGGCGTGGTCGGCCAAGTGGTAAAGCAGGCACTTCTACTCGCCCGCTCAATCTTCCTCGCCGTCATTTCTGCCTGAAGCACGATCGACATGGGGAATTTTGTAGTGGTCTGTTTTGGACTCATGCGGATGAAGAACAGATGTTCTCTATCATGAGGAGTTCATCTACATCATCTCATTTATAGAAAACCGCATCGATGAACTCATCCGTCCCAGAGCTTTACTGAATCGCGACCGAGTTGGAGATCCTGTTTTTAACATGCCTATTGTAGTTGCTGCAGGTAGAGCTTTTCTCAGCCTTTGACTTGGCTCACTTCCAAAGATGTAACAGTTATTCATATCAGGACTATCAACGGATTCTCTGCGCATATGTCTGGAATCGCTTATGGAACAGGAAGGTTTAAATACGCAAATGATCATAGTTGTGTATGACAAGGTTAGGAATATTCCCAGTTATATTTTTTCGTCCCACTACTGCGACATATTTTCAGGAATATCCGGAAAATGCCGAGCTTTCTTCCCTTTTTCATGTGAAGTCTCTGCCCGTTAACGCATCGAATGGATATAACTGTCAGTTTTGCTTTTTCCCTTATTTTTGTAGTTTTCTTTTCTTTATTGATAATTGTGCTGAGTAATTACAGCTCTTATATTGTCGGCACTTTCCGCCGCATTCGCAGTTTTTCCATCCGCAACTTCCGTCGCTGTCATTGAAGAAGATATCCGACTATCACCTGATTGGCTGCTCTACCTCTCCCAAACATTACCTGTTCTTTTGGCTGATAATTCACTTGATGTCGTGCAAACATTCAATCCAAATGGTACTTCCTACTTTTTCTCAATTCGACAGGTTAAATGATCCTTGTTGCTGCAAGAGTCATTTTATGAATATTAGCTGGATAATGAGCAAAGATCTGGCGAAGTGTTGTTCATTTTCTCATGCGACGGTGCTTCCAGGCTTCATAGACACAAGCGGAGACCAGTCACTGGTTTACAGGATTGCGTTCCAGCCCCCGTTGTATTCATATGTTATAACGAGAAAGAAATATGAACAGGAAATAAAGTATAGTTCAGGTACGTTGTAGTGCTTCTTCATCATGCATTTCTTTGGAATAGTTCTAACAGAGCACACTGTCCCAGTGCGATATAATTTCAAACTTTAGAATGCTGCAAGAAACCCGGCCAGTGGTTAATGACGTCGTCGTCGTCACTCGTACCCGACGTGTCTCGCGTCTTTGTGGCTCATTCCAGTCTTGGTGATCCTAAGTGGTCCAATGCCTTGTTTGTCAGACCAAGGAGTGTTAGGTGAGGCAGATGTGACAGAATTCATTGATGATTCTTTTTACGATTTGTTATTTTTGTTTAGCCAGGAAAATACAGTACTGAGTCGTGATTTCCGAACCGAAACGGCATACGATACTTCTATGACATCGCAAATAGCTGCAGCACCAAAAATACCACTGAATGCTGTTGAATGTGGAGCATGGAAACAGCAGATGGCTGATATTTCTTCCACGTCTAACAGGTTTGTTCAAATACAAGGAAAGATCTTATTCCATATTTTGTTAGTTGACCCTCCCCCCTGCATTTCTTTTGCCGCTGCCAGTTCGAATGGAAATTAAACGATCAATGGAACAGTAAAGTGCCAGCCTTCGATAGAGTTTTAAACAGAGAAGTTCAAACCACTCTTGTTGACTGATTCTCAAACCCTCTGCGCTCTGCGTATTCAACTTTGTTTTGCACCTGTTTATATCACTTACCCTTGTTTAGTGTTTTTTGCTTTATATTTGTTCGTCTTTATCGTGACATATTATAGAACTAGTTTTGTCTCTTGGCATCCACCTGGACCTATCATTCTCTGCGTACGCTACACACCCTCCGCTGTGCCGACTCGAACTTGTGGTCAAGACTTGGGGAAGGGAACATGTATGCACAAAATGGGTGTCTTGTCTAGTAGAGCATTTTGATGCATCATGATATCATGTGATGAAACACCGAATTGGGCCTCGACCTTGTGACTTTCCCTTGCTTCTCAGCCTCTCCTTCCATTCTCCTCTAGTTACGACGACTACACCATGAGGAATGGTCGAAACCATGTTTACTGGGTATTTTATAAGAGGAGAAGTGACTTTTCGAATGGTAACATCACGTATAATGATATATTAACAGTGGATATGACCTCGGTTTCATTGGCGCTTGATCTCATCTCACTCCTTCTCCCCGTACCCTCCTGCTGCTGCTGCAGTACCATGTGAAATGGCGTGTGCTAGGGAAAGATTCTCAGGCCGTCATGATTGTGCAAGATGGGTTTAAGTTTTCGCAACAGTGATAAATCGCGACGTAACTGTGGAAGAACTTGGAAAACACAAATTTTGTGGATCCAAGTTATCACAAGAATGCAAAACTTTGCCCACAACTCAGCATTCTTGTGGTAGCATTCGCAACGCGAATTGCGGCACAAAGGCAGAAGTTATTTAATAACAACTCAAAAATGATTTCAATTACGTCTTTCGTTTTGTAAACCAGCTCTATGCCCATTGTAGAGGGCTGTGTTTTTCACTTTTTTCATTGTCCAAGTAGTTCTTCAAGTCAGTAAACGCCGCCCTCCCGATTAGAGTTGACTTTTTTCATTGTGATTTCTCATCAACTGCATTTCCCTCTTCTCGGGAGGTCGTACTGACTTCGAAGTTTCCATAGTGGTTCATCTGTCCATGTGAGCCCAGCCTTCCATCTTCCCTTGTGGCTGTTGAATGCATAGCTTCCCAAAGGAGGACACAACATTGACTCTATCAATCGCTCCGAAAACGTTGATTTAAAGGAGGAATTCACGATTAGAATGAAGGTCGAAGAAAGGGAAACTGACCTAGTTGAGGGACCCACGGACCTCCTGAGGGTGCGAACTGACGCGCAATTCGCATGGAAAAATTTGACCTCGGCGACCTATCATGCCTCAAAGCTGGCGGGTCCGGCGATCTCCGCCCACCGATCATCTGATCACTCGCCGTAGTTCAATACGTGGCGAGTGATTAGATAGCTGAGAGAGCGTAGTGTTGAAGAGGGCACAGCGATGAGAGTCGCATCAATGCTCGAATCAACGGGCAAGGAAGGGGTAATTTCTGGGCCGTTTCTCATGGTTCTTCCTTTTATGTAAGTATACACAAGCCCTAGGTTAATTGAATGGGTTGCTTTTTCATCCTGAATTTGTCCTTTAAACGCGCATTTAAGCGTTTCTGTCATTTTGAATGTAGTGTGTTTGAAAATAGAAGCACAAATGATTAATCAATACAACTTTAGTACATCGGTCGTCATCACATGTGGATCTGAAATGAGCGATGTCGCTGTGCGAGCCGTTGCGTCTCGTTGCTTTGGGCTATACTTTGATCAGCATTTCGCCACTGGCGTATACAAACGGGTCATCAGGTTTGTTCACATGTAATTTTAAAAATTGTGTGACTCACCAATTGGATGTAAAGGCGAGCTAAAGCTCCTGTACGTGTTAACACAAGCGTATTTCATGGGATGCGAACGGTGAATAGAACGGGAACCCTTTCTGTTTTTCCTTCCTACTTTCAGATTGGCGGCACGAATACATTTTCGAAAGCGGAAAAACAGCTTATTCATCAGTATAAAAGTTCTGTTTTGCGCAACGTTAGCGTGTGGAAAGCAATTCGGCTCCACACGCTAACGTTACGCAAAACAGAACTTTTCATTATAGAATGGGGAGGCTGAAGTTTCGTTTTCAGCCCTTCCTTATAAGCAGTCACCCCACTATCCATGAGCACGCAACATTGCTTTCGTCATTAACCTGTGACCATTTTTCCTATTCTCTGGGCTGTTTCGGAACCTCATCTCATCATGTAGAGGTCAGTGACGGAAGAAGGGTGCTTCCCTCTCCGGCAAGCGCCCTTCTTCCGTCACTGACCTCTTCATTTTTATGGTCTTCAGAACGTCCTTAAAATGGCGATGAGACGTCTTGTTGAACTTACCGGCATCCAGTTAGCAACACGTCCGCCATTGGAGGTGGTCCTCCCGCTCATTTCAGATTTGCTTAGTGCTGCTCAGTCTTTGCTCATCTCCACCTTTTTTTCTCGTTTGTACGCTATATTTGACCGTGGAAATGGCTGTCATCTGTAGCACTGCCCAGTGTAGCCCTTGCTGTCCACCTGTCAATCCATCTTGGCCGTCAATTTACTGCCCATCTTTATCCATTTTCATCATTTCCGGTCTTTCCTTGGGGCGGAGGTGGTGTGGACGCACCACGTGCATGGTCAGAAGTCAGAATCTGGATCGAAGCTTGCTCGAGCCGACCAACCCTACCATCGCTCTGGTGTCATTGTTCATCGCATTCAAATTCTACGATTTGAGTGGAAGTACAATGCGAAATGCGATAGGGCCAGCCGTCGATTGTTTTTGTGACTTCTCTTGCGAGAATTTCTTCTTTGAGAGGCAAGATATTCTTCGCTGTTATTACTTTTGTGGACAACGAGGTCTCCTGAGTTTTGCATAGTTTTGTTGTGCTTTTATTTCCTTCTTTTGCTCCACCATTCGCTGCTTTTCCTCGCTCTAGCACCACGTTGTTTTTCTCTCCTGATTCGACCACGTGCCTCAAGCAGGGCTTCAATTGCGCCGGTAGCTAACATAAGTCTTGACACCATCTTTTCCAGATTAGCTGTTTGGTACTTGATTTCCTTGGAATCCTTGTGTTTCCTCCCTTGTGTACGCTTTCAGGCCTATTCTGTCAACGTGACCATTCATATAATGTACTGTGGTGATGAACATAAGCGGAATTGATCTGATGGTATAATCAAGCTCTTATAGAACTTCGTCCTTCTCTCGCCCAGCACCATTTCTTTGTTGATAACTTGTGGCTATGATTCGGGCGTTGATTGATCCTATGTATCACAGCAGAAATGCAGTCGGAGAGGGATTATGCTACTACTACTTCCACACTTTCCTCTTACAGTTAGCACCTTTCCTGTTGTTTCTGAGTTAGACATGTTCTCTAATCTTCTCTTCCTTATCATTAGCTTTTCTGAGCTTGTATTCTCACGATATGGTAGAATGTTCATCAAATTAGCAACTTCTTAGACATAATGGTCAGGCTGCTTTCTTACAAGGAAGGTCTTTCAGGGTGTGCCATGCTTTTTCAAAACGGTCTTTTGCATGATATAGGGGCACATGCGGGAACCACAGAACCATGGTTAATTTTTCCTGAACGGTCATCTGAATACCAGAAAGGGGGTCCCTAGTCACACCTTTTTCACCAGTTTTTC